AACTTATATTAATGGTGGCTTTAATCAAATACATTCTTATGCAACAGCAGCTTGACCTCTCTATTTAATAATGAATAATCACTCGTCGTTAATCGTTGTAGTGAGAAAACAAAATAATCAAAAGTTAAAAGACTAAATTTAGATAGTAAAGAACATTATAAAAAAGGAGATGTCTATAAAAGACCCGACTAAAAAATATGAAACAATCCAATTGAGAAAACTAACGGCCTGTTTTTTTTTTTTTACATAAAGTTCATTATTTTCGACACCGGAAAGAGACAAAAAAAGCTTTAAATCTGCAAAATGTAAGATGTGTCCAATGGTAATCATAAGCCATTTCAATAATTGCACATGTCAATGATTTCACGCGAAAAATACTTGTTTATGCCTTAGAGAAGCATCTGCAAATATACTGATTTATAATAATGTTTCCGTTTTCTTAGACAAAGTAAACAAAAATAAGACAGTTGAATCACAATCTAATCAAATTGCCGTTAGATTTCACGCGCAACATAAAAACAACTGCATTAAAATGAGGAGCATGTGCGTGGAACTAATTTTAATTTTATGCAACTGTCATACAAGTGAGAGGTTTAGCTAGCTATTAAACCAGATTTAATCCACCATTTTCGACATAAAAAAATGCCTGTACCAAGTCAGGAATATGACAGTTTTTATCCATTCGTTTGATGTGTCTGAGCTTTTGATTTTGCCGTTTGATTACGGACTTTCCGTTTTGAATTTTCCTCGGAGTTCGGTATTTTTGTTATTTTACTTTTTATTTAAGGAAAATCGGTAAGTCAATCCTTGTTTTCTGTAATGTGATGCTGTTTCCAGGTTTTATAATCTACCCCAATATACCGTTTGATTCTACATGTTCTGAGAGTAATGTAATTTTTTATTTACTTTTTTTATACATCCAGCCAGATTGAAGTTTTTGAAGAAGATGCTCAAGGTAACACATTTAGTGGTATTCCTTAAGTATGTGCTTTATAGCACACTTATACAGTTATATGAATTTGACATTTACAAATTTTGTTTTCGTATGCCCTTGCCGCCGGCTATGGGGACATTAAGTGTTATCCTTGACCGGCTGTCTTTCCTTTTGTCCCATTTTCGTTTCCGCTCTCAAACTTAAGTTTTCCTCATCAAAACTTTAAGAAAATCATATACAATGCTAAGAAAGACAACACGCAGACAGAGCTCGAATTCGAGCAATGAGTCAATTACCTTTATAGAGTTATGCACTTTTAAACTCGGATAATTGCAAAGCTTGAAGGCTGGAATGTGTGTCCTTAGACATATTCTTCTTTTATTGTTTTCACTTTTTCCATCATTAGAACTGAATTTGAACTAAATTTGTATTCTTTTGAAACCGGATGTATAAAGACACACCCACGTTAATTTTTTTCTATAAAGAGGTTAACTCCTAACTATCCTACTGCCTGTCGATATATTTATTTTTGGCATTGCACAAATCATGATTTCTCTGACTGTCCATGACGTTAAAATACTACATCCCTGGGATGTGTTTTAGTTGATTTTAGTCTCTGATGCATGATTTTTTATTATTAATTGTTTTTGGCTTTTAACTAGCTGTCAGTAACTGCGAGTACTCTCAAATCGTACTTTCTTGTTAATTTGACCTGTTGATACTATTTGTAATGCTTATTTGTTATTTAATGTTTACTTATTCAGGGTTATATCTCGTCTATATACCAACTTTGATAAGTGTTTGGTATGACTAGAAACTTTCACTTCTTCGTACAATGAACAACAAAATTATTTATTTTGTAAAAAATATTTCCGTTCTCCATTTAAACTGTATACCTTACAACAAAATTATTTTCATTTGCCGGTGTATATTATTGTATTTGGCGGCTTTTTGTTCAAGGTTGTTGTATTTTTTTTTTTTTAATTGTTTAATATCTCACAGCGGTATACTACTGTTGCCTTTATTTATTCACCCCTTATTGAATTGATTTTGAATTTACATTTTATCATAGATCAAATTTATTCGTTCAGTGTATGTTCACTTGTGTTAATATGTCTTTTGATTGAGTTAAGCCATTTCAATTGATATTTTATAGTGTGTCTTTCTATGTTGTGATGTTACACTATTGTTTCAGATAAGGGGTGAAGGTTGGTACTTATTTAAACTAAACGTTTAAACCTGCTGCATTTGTTTGCACCTGTCCTAAGTCAGGAATCTGATGTCCAGTAGTTTTCGTTTGTTAATGTGGTTCATAAGTGTTTCTCGTTTTTTATATAGATTAGACCATTGGTTTTAATTCCCGTTTAAATGGTTTTACACTAATCATTTTTGGGGCCCTTTATAGCTTGCTGTTCGGTGTGAGCCAAGGCTCCGTGTTGAAGACCGTACTTTGACCTATAATGGTTTACTTTTACAAATTGTGACTTGGATGGAGAGTTGTCTCTTTGGCACTCATACCACATCTTCTTATATCTATTTACAAACTATGCATAATCAATCAAATTCATTCATTAACTTGTAGATATGTTATACGTCGTGTTGATAATGGACATATGATTTTTACTCAGATACATATACCTGCATATAGCTGAATTTGGCTCATTTTCAAACACTGCTACGTTCCACTTTTCAAAGCAAGAAATTCGTTCCTCTTTCCGCGTGTTTTCATCAGAGGCGGCTCGTCAGAGATTTATTTTTATTCGAAACAGTCAGGTTAATACGATTGTCAAGTATAAAGCTCGATTTGCATATCTTATCAGGAACACCTGATTCACCCCTGTTTTTATTGGGACTAGTATTCTTTGTACTGTTTTGGAACTATTGTTTACCCGTTCGTCTGTTTGTTTGATTTTAGTGTCTGTATTACCCCAATGAATTTTGTTCTTCGAATAATCTAACTTTCACTACTGTATAGCATATTATGCAATTATAGACTTTTCATGAGTTTATGATACATAGATTATACCACTGCATGGAGAGTGATACAATATTTCTCCTCTTGAGACAGTTAAATTTTCAAATTTAAAACTCGAGGTGTTCGAATCTGTTTTTATATGATTTTTTTACGATATATACACAGCCAAATTTTGCTCACGTGAATTTCACATGAATTTCACGTGAATTTCACAAAAATTTCACGTTAATTTCACGTGAAGTGATTTCACGTGAAATTCACGTTAAATTTTCACGTGAAACATTTCATGTGAATTTCACGTGAAAAAATATAAATGGTGTCTAAGTTAAAAAAAAATAACCGAAAATCAAACATTTTGTCAACCTCTAATACCTTGTATTATATGTATCATATATTCCATGGAAATCTTAATTTAATTTGAAAAATTCTATTTTAACGTGAAATTCACGTGAGTATTTCACGTTAATTTCATGTGAATATTTCACGTTAAATTCATGTGAATATTTCATGATATATTCACATTAAAAATTTCACGTTAAATTCACGTGAACAATTTCACATGAAATTAACATGAATCAAAACTCATGTGAAAATGTTATGTTTCATTTTATCTGAATTAAACCATGAATTCATTTAAGAGAAATTTAACTTTATTGAGTTAAATTTTTGTAACATGAGAAACAAATTCACCTGAATTTTGCTATTATTCATTCCAATTTTCTTTTTGCAAAATTGAATCATTTCAAAACTGTTATTCTTTGTCTCTCAAGATTTACATATTTGGACATACAATCATTGTAAATGATAAATATTTATCTTTTTGTTAAGCATGAATTATCTCTCTTGATAGTGGGTTAGATGCAACTACAAAAACATGTTGGTTTTGAATTATATTTTCTATCACTGTTTATATTTATCTCTAGTAGAGTCATTAAGATGGAATTTTGTATACATGTGTATCTCTTATTTCAAATTCCTAGATGCCTATATTATATTGATGGACTAATTGATTTACTAGTAATATTTCTATAATTATTAATTAGTAAATTTAATTACTTTCACACATCTTATGTCTTCTTTACTTTTATACTTTTAAAAAATGTTGGAGGTAACTCCATTATGAAATAGATTACTGTTACTGTAATAGATTCTTTACTTCCCATTATTGCAAAGAAAAAAAGGATAATATATATAGATCATTAACTTCCAAACATGAGTTATCTCCCTTTTTTACTGTGCATAAAACTTTTCCTCAAACTTATAAGTCAAGAAAATTTGTGAGCATTGAATCGCACATAAGTTTAACATTAGGACATATATGAATAAAAACTAGTAAGTATACAGAAAAGAATTTTATATGTACTAAATTTTTTCAATAAATGTAAATTTGAATGTTTATCAATTTTTTAAGTTTATTGAAAGTGCAGTATAAAATTTTCTGTATTGCTTTTTATAACATGACATCTATACATTATAAGAAGCCAATTTTGTTTATAATCTTTGAAATTGAAAGATTGCATGGTCAATTGTTGCACTGGGACACATTTTAAAATTACAAAACAACGCCCCTGTATTCTTAGATTAATGTTTTTATTCAGAAAAATGAATGGTTACATTTACACTTTATTATTAAAAAAAACTTACATTCTTTAAGCTTTAATAAATGTGTGGTAAATGATTGCCAATTAGACAAGGCTTTTTCATTGAATTAAGGTTAAATATTTTACTTTTATATAGATATAGATATATATTCTTTTACACAATGAAATCACAGTCACAATTGAAAGTATATTTATTATATTTTATAAATATATATATTAAATGGTTGTAAGAGTTTAATTAACTAACAGCTCCATGTGGAGGTGCTCCTATGTAAAGGATGCTTATTAACAAAATAATTTGTTATATGTTCCAAGGATTTGTATAGTAGGAATGGGGGAACTAGCAGGTACCTATTTTTCACTTTTCACATGGAGAAATACTTTGAACATCAGGTCAGGACAATATCAGTGATTCTCTCGTCCGGAGTCGGATTTTTTTAAAACGCTTGAAAGATACAGATTATGACGCGTCTTTTAAAAAGAGAAGAACCCGTCAGCTGATTGTCAACAACAGTACTTGTTTCAGTTAATTTAACAAGACAAACAATACCAAGGAGCTATGAATCAATGAATACTCGAGGATGTACTACAGGTAACTCAAACAAATGATTTAATAGTGCAGGAATAAACAGAAATCTGCAATGACTGAATGAGAATGGTTTTCATCTTCGATTTTGGTATCCTGTTCGTTCGCTCCCAAATAATTTTTATACACGTTCGCCCCATAGGACCTAACGCATCTAATTTCAAATTCCAGTTGAATTGTAAGATATTTTATTATTTGTATACAGTAACGTAGCTTGCATTCTGTTATTCACGAAGTCGGATCAACTGAACTTGACGACCACAATACTTGTATACTAGTATTGTCAACAATACTCGTATATAATTCACTGGACGTTAAGCAACCAATAATCAATCAATCGTATATAATTAATGTACAAGTATTGCACAACAAATTTTAAAAACCAATAGGGTTTGTTATTATTCATTGATGTGTTTTATTAACAACTTGTTGGTGTTATTTTGTTCTAATGCATTTAGGCAGATATAAAAATTGAGACTATGTAAAAAAAAGTATGTTGCTTTATGAACGTCTGACAATCAAAATATACGTGAATAAACTGTACAATAAAGACGGCTAAGGTCAGCAAAAAATCTGGGATTTGTTGACAATTGAAATTTTGTGAAATTCCTTGTTTTAAACAAAAATTTGACTAGCCCGTCGGACTACTGTGATGAAATCTTTACTAGCCCTCCCTAATTTTTACTAGCCTCCGGCTAGCGGACTAGCGTTAGTGTCGAACCCTGCCTCCCATTTCGTACCCTGGCAAAAACCATTCCTACCCTGACCATTTCGTTACAAAAAATAATTTTCTATCCTGAAATACATATTTTTCAAATCATTACATTACTTTTGAATATTTTTGAGTAAAGGCAGTAATAATTACTCTACTTCAATGTATTTATATTTTATATAAACAATACTATGACAATACTTGTATACAATACTTGTACATTAATTATATACGAGTATTGTTGACAATACTAGTATACAAGTATTGTGGTCACCAAGTTCAGTTGATCCACGAAGTCAAGGGGTCTTAAGCTATCGATTTTTTTTTAACAATTTGAACAAACTAAAGTTAAAACTACCATTACCAACTTATTAGTTCATTACCTGCTTATAATTTTTCAATGTTCATATGGATACTTAAATCTTTTAAGACGCATTCATGATTTAGTTTCTCATATCGAATTCTTTAAGTGTCACAACTTCCCAGATAATGGCAGATTAAACATTATTTATGAATAATGGAGATGGATATGTCAAATTCTGACTGAGTCTTATACAGTATAAATTTGTCACTTCTTTCTTTATTTGTGTATGATTCAAATCATAGTATTACATGTTCTATCTTATCTATGATTAACTCAAAAGTTATATAGATAACAAACACTTGGCTGACTTGCAGTTATCACATACATGACACAAGACAATCACTGACAAGTTTCCAGGCTTGCTAGCAGTAGCTGAAAGCCAGATCAAATACCTAATCTGTTGTACAAAATGTACACTATAATATTGGTCACGTGGCTGTACCTCACTTTGACATTAGATTTAACGTCTTATCAGAAGCAACACAATTGACTTGAATTGTGTCAATTTTTTTCATTCCAGCATATTTAGATTACAGAAAACTACAAATGGTATGAATCAATAATGACAACAAAACGATACAGTATAAAAAAGAAGATGTGGAATGATTGCCAATGAAAATGCTACAGGTCACTGTACAGCATGTCCAACTATTATCCTCAGTGTAAGCCAGTACAAGTTATCGCGCATGATTTTAATTTCTTATCCGTCTGATCAGTCTTTTCTGTGTGTGATATCTTATCAAGACAACATGCTGAGTTTGTAAAGACAATGTTGACACTCGTTAATAATTTGACAACACTAAGTAAACAATATTATAACCATATGACATTGTAGCATGCTAGGTTCCGCGTGAATACGAGTTGTATAAACTGACTTTATTTCCAAAAGATAAAATTGGATTTTACCGAATATCAAACATACAAAATAAAAAGTGGAAAAAGGACAAATACGAGATTATGATAACCAAACAACTTCAGAAAATGATCGCATCTCGATTTTTGAATAAAAAAGGCCCTGAAAAAAAAAATTGTTAAAGATGAAATTTATATCGTTGGATAGATTTAAAACCAGAGAATAAATATACATGCGAATGAAGCTGTTTCTAATAAAGATTTTATGTCAATTCATTAAAGAAAACCCATGTGCACACATTTTTGGTTTCGTATTGTATGAAGTAATAGGTCGTGCACCCGGTGTTCTTTAATTGAAAAAGGCCCTAACTTCTGCAATCCCTATCAAAATACAAATTAGATCTGTAGAAAGCTTATAAATTGAACTTTCAAAATTGATGCCAATGAAAAAGAAATTTAATGATATTTACAGACAGCTAATCAAAATTTAAGATTTCCTTTAACAATCTATAGTAAATTTATCGATATCGATTGTGGTCAAATTTGACGCATGCGCAAAGCGGGTGCTGATAATAGTTGTGTATGGCCTTCAACAATGAGCAAAGCCCATACCACAAACCCAGCTATAAAAGGCCCCAAAATCACAAATGTAAAACATTCAAACAAGAAAACTAATGGCATAATTAATGTATAAAAAATGAACGCTAAAAACAAATATGTAACAAAGCAACAAAGGATGACCACTGAATTAATATTACAGGCTCCTGACTTGGGACCGGCACATATATACAGAATGTGGCGGGGTTAAACATGTTAGGGGAATTCAAACCCTCGCCCTTATATATAGAATAGAATAGAATATTTTTATTCACCAAATTAGGGCCCCAGAAGGGCATAAAGCAAACAAACAATATTATTATAAACAATAATATTTAGATATGTATACATTATGACAAGTTCACAGATCAAGTTCAATATATATTCTGTTCAGAAAAAATAACTAAAGTTGTTTTAATTTTGCAGAGCTATAGTCCTTGGACTTAAAAAAATTCACGCAAACAATCAGTTTTTCACTTTCATTTTTATACAACCGCAAAAAATAAAAAAAAAATTGCGTTCGTATATTGGTATGAAGTTGGCGTCGTCGTCTTCGTCCGAAGACACATTGGTTTTCGCACAATAACTTTAGTACAAGTGAATGGATCTCTATGAAATTTTACCATAAGGTTTAATACCACAAAAGAAAGGTTGGGATTGATTTTGGGGGTTATGGTACCAACAGTTAAGGAATTAGGGGCCAAAAATAAGCATTTTTGTAACTTCCAACAATAACTTGTGTGTTAGTGTATGGATCTCTCTGACATTGTACCACAAAGGGAATGCTGGGATTGATTTTGGGGGTAATTGCCTCAACATTTTAGGAATTAGGGGCCTAAAAAGGGGCAAAAAACAAGCATTTTTCTAGTTTCATGACAATAACTTGTGTGTAAGTGTATGGATCTTTCTGAAATTGTACAACAAGGTTCCATATCACAAAGGGAAAGCTGGATTTGAGTTTGGGGGTAATTGCCCAAAACGTTTAGGAATAAGGGGCCAAAAAGGGGCTAAAAATAAACATTTTTAACCGGATTTTCGAAGGAAATATCGGTTATTAAAATGGTGATGTACGGCGGGCGGCTGCCAAACAGTGTCAGCACAATAACATGAAAAAGCTTTAAAATTTTTTTTTCAAATTTAAATATGTTGTATCCTGGGACTTAATGAAGGTCTAGTTTAATTTTCAAGATATTAGTATACCTCCTTTGTGAGTTATCGCCATTTTTAATATCCAAAAGTTGAATTTTTAAATATTTTACTCTTGTTATCCTTTTTATGACTAAGCATAATGTCTTATCTCATAATAAAAATTGGAGTGACAGATTTATTTGAAAATTATTTCTTTCCTAAGTGGTAATGATTATAAGCTATATTATTAGACATTTTGAAGTTAATTACATTATTAATTATTAATTAGATCTGGGTTATATCTTAGCATATAATATCATTGGAGTGACAGATTTATTTGAAAATTTTCTGTTTCCTGATAAGATCTGTAGGACTGTATATATAAAGTTTGAAATTTACTAGTAGGACTGTATAAAGGAAATTTGAAATTTACTGTTCATTATTAGACATTTTGTAGATAATTAAGTCTCCCTAAACCATATATATTCATACCCCCACCTCCTTTCAATTTGAGAATGTGCTTTTATCTTGCAAACGGTTGAGATCCCAACCCTGAAACCATATATATTCATGTATGTGACAACAAAACAAATCAAATGAAATAAAAGGCGAGTCCCCTGGTGTCACACCCACCCCCTCCTGTTTGACAACGTGTAAACGGTCGAGATCCCCACCCCTAAACCATATATATTCTTGTACGGGACAATGACACAAATCAAATGAATTATAGGGGAAGTCCATGGGGGTCACCCCCACCCCCCCCCCCCCCTTCTTTTTAATAACTTGTAAACGGTCAAGATTCCCACCCAGAAACCATATATATATTCTTGTATGGGACAATATATCAAATCAAATAAAATATAGGGGAAGTCCACGGGGGTAACCCCTACCCCCTTCTTTTTGATAACTTGTAAATGGTCGAGATCCCCACCCCTAAAAAATATATATTCTTGAATAGGACAATAAAACAAATCAAATGAAATTGAGGGGAAGTCCCCTGGGGTAACCCCCACCCCCTTCTTTTTGAAAACTTGTAAATGGTCAAGATCCCCACCCTGAAACCATATATATTCTTGTATGGGAGAATAAAACTAATCAAATGAAGTAAAAGGCGAGTCCCCTGGGGTCAACTCCACCCCCTTCTTTTTGAAAACTTGTAAAAGGTCAAGATCTCCACCCCGAAACCATATATATTCTTTTATGGGACAATAAAACAAATCAAATGAAATCCATGGGGGTATAAGGCGAGTCCCTTTGGGTCACCCCCACCCCCTCCTGTTTAAGAACTTGTAAACGGTCGAGCTTTTCATTATTAATAAGATAATACCACATTGAGGTCCAAAGGGTCCTAAATTAAACTTTTGTTTAATTTCATCAAAAACTGAATTCTTTGGTTCTTTGATATGCTGATTCTAAAAATGTTTGAGTGTTAAATCATATCTAATTTTAGAGAACTTAGTCATCACTGGTTGTTGTTATTATATTATTGATTATAATTTGAAACTAGAGGCTCTCAAGAGCCTGTATCGCTCACCTGTATTTACTGATGCTTTGGAAATCATGTAAAATAAGGTAAAAATCATAATTAATAGTATTAGATATTAGATATTATCATGATTATAATGATATCTAAGATAATAACAAAAAACTGCAAAATTTTTGTAAAATTACTAACTCAGGGGCAGCAACCCAACAACGGGTTGGCGGATTCGTCTGAAGATTTCAGGTCAGATAAATCTAAATCTGATGAACATTTTTGCCACCTGTCAGATTTGCTCTAAATGCTTTAGTTTCAGAGATATAAACCAAAAACTGCATTTTACCCCTATGTTCTACTTTTAACCAAGTCGGCCATGATGGTTGGAAGGCGGGGTCATCGGACAAATTTTTAAACTATATACCCTAATAATGATTATGGCCAAGTATGGTTAAATTTGTCTCAGTAGTTTCAGAGAAGAAGATTTTTGTAAAAGATTACAAAAATTGTAAAAAATTGACTATTAAGGGCAATAACTCCTAATGGGGTCGACTGACAATTTTGGTCATGACAACTTATTTGTAGATCTTACTTGGCTGAACATTATTGCTGTTTACAGTTTATCTTTATCTATAATAATATTCAAGATAATAACCAAAAACTGCAAAATTTCCTTAAAATTACCAATTCAGGGGCAGCAACCCAACAACAGGTTGTCAGATTTGTCTGAAAATTTCTGGGCAGATAGATCTTGACCTGATAATCAGTTTTACCCTGTCAGATTTACTCTAAATGCTTTGGTTTCAGAGATATAAGCCAAAATCTACATTTTTCCCCCTATGTTCTATTTTTAGCCATTGCGGCCATCTTGGTTGGTTGGCGAGGTCATCTGACACATTTTTGAAACTAGATACCCTAATGATGATTGTGGCCAAGTTTGGTTAAATTTGGCCCAGTGGTTTCAGAGGAGAAGATTTTTGTAAAAAGCTAACGACGACGGACGACGACGACGGACGCCAAGTGATGAGAAAAGCTCACTTGGCCCTTCGGGCCAGGTGAGCTAAAAATGCATCATATCTTATTTTAGAGAACTATTTATCCAGTTTGAGTTATTTCCATTTGCACAGAAAATATTATGGATAAAATTAACCTGTGTTTCATTTCAACAAAAATTAAATACATATATAGGATTCTTTCAAATGCTGAATTTAAAGTCTATTTATATATTAGATTTTTAGGCCCAGTTTTCAAGTTGGTCCAAATCAGGGTCCAAAATTAAACTTTATTTGATTCAACAAAAATCGAATTTATGGAGTTCTTTGAAATGCTGAATCTAACCATGTATTGAGAGATTTTGGATTGTGGGCTCCTTTATCAAATTGGTCCACATTGAGGTCCAAAGGGTCCTAGATTAAACTTTTGTCTGATTTCATCAAAAATTGAATTCTTGGGGTTCTTTGATATGCTGATTCTAATATGTACTTAGATTTTGGATATTGGACCATAATAGGTATTTAAATGTCTAATTTCAAATATATCAGTTCTTTGACTACATTCATTTTGTGTCACAAACCTATGATGTGTCAAATATTCAATCACAATCCAAATTCAGAGCTGTTTTAAGTTTAAATGTAGTGTCCATACTTGCTCAACTGTTCAGGGTTCGACCTCTGCAAGAAAATCCGGTTTGCTGTCTCTCTGACAGCCTCTTGTTCAAATTAGTCTACATTAGGGTCCAAAATGAAACTTAGTTTGATTTTAACAAAAATTGAATTCTTGGGGTTCTTTGATATGCTGAATCTAACCGTGTATGTATTTAGATTTTAGATATTGGACCATAATAGGTAAATTAAAAAAATTTAAGTTCTTTGACCACATTCATTCTGTGTCAGAAACCTATGCTGTGTCAAATATATAATCACAATCCAAATTCAGAGCTGTATCAAGCTTGAATGTTGTGTCCATACTTGCTCCAACTGTTCAGGGTTCGACCTCTGCAGTCGTATCAAGCTGCGCCCAGCGGAGCATTTTATTGTTATATATGCTTGAAGATATTGATCTGATAATATATGCTTGAAGATATTGATCTGATAATTATCATGATTATTGTATACATGTAGTTTTACCATGACAAGTTGCATATCAAGTTAAAATTTTGTTTCAGTTCAGATGATTTTTTTTAGCAGAAACTGTTTAGGACAAATGTAGGAATTATGGTCCAAAGCAAGCATTTTTCATGTTTCATGGCAATAAATTGTGTATAAGTGTAGGATAACTATAAAATTGTACTACTTAATAGGTCATTTGTAGGTTCCATACCTCAAAAGAAGGTTTGGATTAATTTTTGGGGTAACAGACTAAACCATGTAAACCATTTAATAATTTGTTGCCAAAAATAAAAGGATTTTCTGGTTTCCAAACATTTAAGTCTTGAATAATATACATTGTACATCATTTGTATATGTTCATACACCTGAACTAATATATAGATAAAAGAAGATATGGTATAATTTCCCTTCACCCAAGATTAAATGACATACATGTAGAAGTTAACATAAACTACAGGTCACAGTTCATCCTTCAACAATGAGCAAATCCCATACAGTCTAAGGGGAAATTGTAAACAATCAATTTCAAATGGTTACAACTTGAAAACTAAATTAATAATGACAAGGGGTCTTCAGTTACTGTTGTAAGACTACAATGGGATGACCTGCTTTTAGTTTAAACTACTGGACCAAATTTAATAAAATCATTAAAAGAGTATCTTATACTTTTAATTATGATTTTCAAAACAACAGTGGATACAGGTGAGTGACACAGGCTCTTGAGAGCCTCTAGTTGATATTTGATATTTCAATTCTAAGTTTAAAATAAATACATGTAGCAAGAAATACATGTATATTATAAGCTAATTGTTTGCAAAACTCTTTGAATAGTATTGCGTCCACAAATATACTGTTTTCTCCCTTTCAGCAGTATTACAAGGTACATGTATGGGCAGAGGAGTTGACTATTGATAATGACTGATACTGGAATTAATGAAGTAACCTACATGTAGTGTCCAATCTCTATGTGGAGATTGCCTATCAGACAGTCCATTTTTACATGTACCAAAAAATGTACGTTGACAGCCAATGCTAAGTATTAATCTTAAACATATATTCAATGATTGTATGTGCATCTCTGATACATATATTTCGCTGTTGTGTGGCTTTATTTCTGATCAGAGACTGATAAAAATCAGATTATCCTTTATTTTAAGTTCAAATACATGTATTATGTACTAGTAACTACATGTACTCAATGTCTTGCATTCATTTAACTAATAATGATGATGCAGCATCCAACAAAAAAGTATATCTTTTTGACCTTCATTTTATGCCTCACTGATTGTGTATATGTATGAATTCTGTCAGATTGTGGTACTTAAAAAAAGTTTTGAGTGTTTTGCACATATACTTTGTCATTGGACTTTAAATAAATTTGATTTCTGATAATGGCAGAGTTTTTTTAACATTGCTTCATAGTGATGATCAGATTACCTTTAATCAATATATATTTATGTACATGTACACTGCTACTGTAAAATACAGTTTCCTAAATATTGCACTAATTTTAAAGTAACAAAATAGTACTGAATATTAAAAGTAGATTTCCAGTACTACATATTTTTGGTACAGAAATAGTACCTATGCAAAAGTAGCTGTGTACAGTATATAAATAGAATTTAATTGTTGCAGATTGATAATTTTTAGTAATTTGAAAATAAGGAGATGTGGTAGGATTGCCAATAAGAAAACTATCATCATCAGCCACGGTCAAAATGAAGGGGATGTAAGCAGTTTTAGGCCACTTTAAGACCTTCAACAATGAACAGAACAATACTGTTTACTCAGCTGTTAAAGATCCTGACAAAATGCGCAACAGTTCAATCTAGAAATTTAGTACTAGTCATTTTGCTAGTGATGTTCACTTATTGGTTAAAAGAAAAATCAATTGTTTTCTCTCTTGGTGAATATTTTTATGCCCCTGCCGTAGCGGTGGGGGCATTAAGTTTTACCCTTGTCCGTCTGTACGTACGTCTCAAAATTGGTTTCCGTTCTCTAACTTGAGTTTGCCTCAACCAAATGTTTTGAAACTTATACACAATGCTTATTACCAGAAAACACAGATCAAGTTTGAATTAATTTTGGTGGCGTCACTTTAACCGTTCTAGAGTTATGCCCCTTTATAAATGGAAAAATTGCAAAAATTTTAGTTTCCGTTCTCTAACTTAAGTTTGCCATGGTTGCCTCAACCAAATGTTATGAAAATTATACACAATTCTTATTACCACAAAACACAGATCAAGTTTGAATTTTGGTGGCGTCACTGTAACCGTTCTAGAGTTATGCCCCTTTAGAAATGGAAAAATTGCAAAAGTTTTAGTTTCCGTTCTCTAACTTAAGTTTGCCTCAACCAAATGTTATGAAACTTATACACAACCGTTCTAGAGTTATGCGTGTTTGCAAAAAGAAAAATTGCTGAATTTTTAGTTTCTGTTTTCTACTTAAGTTAGCCTCAACCAAATGTTATGAGACTTACATACAATGCTTATTACCACAAAACTCAGATCAAGTTCAAATTTGGGTAGCATCACTTTTACCGTTCTTCAGTTATGTCCCTTTATAACTATATGATATGCAAGCAGGGGCATCATCTGTGTCCTCATGTGGACATTATCAACATTTATTTACAACAATTGCCTGTGTGAATTTGATATATATCTAAATGAATTTTCAGTTGTATTGGACTATTGCCATTTTTATACGACCGCAAAAAAATTTTTGGGATCGCATAATGGTATGATGTTGTCGTCGTCGTCGTCTGCGTCGTCGTCCGAAGACACATTGGTTTCCGGACAATAACTTTAGTTTAAGTGAATGGATCTCTATGAAATTTTTAAAGAAGGTTTAATACCACAAAAGGAAGGTTGGGATTGATTTTGGGGATGATGGTCCCAACCGTTTAGGAATTAGGGGCCCAAAACAAGTATTTTTCTAGTTTCAGGATAATAACTTGTATTTCGATTGCTCTGAAATTGTACCACAATGTTTAATACCAGAAGTAGAAGGTTGGGATTTGTTTTAGGGGTTATGGGGCCAACAGTTTAGGAATTAAGGGCCAAAAAGGGGCCAAAAACAAGCATTTTTACTAGTTTCCAGACAATAACTTGTGTGTAAGTGTATGGATCTCTCTGACATTGTACCACAAGGTTTCATATAACAAAGGGAAGGCTGTGATTGAGTTTGGGGTTAATTGCCCCAAACATGTAGGTATTAGGGGCCAAAAAAGGGCCAAAAACAAGCATTTTTCTAGTTTCCAGACAATAACTTGTGTTTAAGCGTATGGATCTCTCTGAAATTGTACTACAATGTTCCATACTACGAAAGGCAAAGCTGGGATTGAGTTTTGGGGTAATTGCTCCAAGGGGGGGTTTCAAAAAATTGGAGAGGGGGGATTTTTTTTCCAATTTTTTTAAGGGATTCATATTTTTTTTTCAAAATTTTTCAAATTTCGAATTTTTGAAAAGTTTCAAGAAGAAATCTTCAATGGACAGTATTGCGCAATATATTTGTAAGATCTTTGACCACATCTATTTTGTGTCAGAAACCTATATTATGTCAAAAATTTGATCACAATCCAAATTCAGACAGTATCAAGCTTGAATATTGTGTCCAAATTTGCCCAAACTGTTCAGGGTTCGACCTCTGCGGTCGTATCAGGCTGCGCTCAGCGAAGCATTTTATTTTATTTTGAAAACAGTTCATCAGCATGATCAGGTTCAGGTCTTATATTTATAATAATCACTGGAATTTAAATTTTCAGAATTAGCTCCCCAGATGTAAGTGGAAGTGAAGTTATACATGTTATATGTTTCGATGAAATGAATGACTTGATTAGAGATACATGTAGTGGAGACCCTATAGATACAGTACATGTAACTGGTATGTATTTGTTACAGTATTTGCTGTCAAAATTGTATAACAAAAATGCCGAAAAAGGAGTCCACGCAAACTGACAAAATAAAAAAACACTATCAATCAACAGATCAAGGGAAAAGTTAATCTGCTATATATACATGTATGGAATAGGCATGTAGTTAGATTTGTTTACCCCTTTTCAGTCCATGTAAATTTATGAGAATAGAATTTTATATTCTGGATTTCCTTAGATTTCAATTCTTATTTCATATTAATATCCCATGTGTTATGCTTGTAGTTTGAGGAATATTATCAAAATAGCTTGACCAAGATTAAACAATAACTGTTATCATGAATTAGGCCATTTTTGTCTTGTCTGCAACTGATTGTATGGTGTACATGTCTGTCTGGGCAGGGTTCATCTTACCATGACCTGATAATCATAGTTCATTAGTCAATAATAATTTAAGTTTCATATTTTGGTCTGTTTGCAGAGGCGGATTTAGGGGGGCAGGGGGCCTGCCCCCCCCCCCTTCCCTTTTCTGTGAAAAATTTGGTTGATTATATAGGGAATCACTGAAGCTTGACCAGAGCGGGCCCCTTCTTAGGTAGTCAGTGGGCCCCCACTTATGAAAATTTCTGGATCCGCCACTGTGTTTGTTGTATACTATACAAGCTATAATCAATTAACAGATCAGCTATATTTGGGGTAGGCAATGATTGTAAGGTGCACATGTCTGTCTGGCTTGGTTTTTCTGACCTTGGCATTATTTGCTTGACAGTATTTTTTTCATGGATCATTGGTTATGTTAAGTTTATATATCATATATACTTATAGTAAAATTATATCTAGCATGTTTAGAACAATCAACATAAAATATATCATGAATAGTAAAACAGGCAAGACATTTCAGCGTGTTTACTCGTCTCTTGTGATATCTATTTTATACAAATGTATACTGAGTGCCAATAAAAACACAATTCTGGTCCCCTGCACATGCTACAGCACATGTAATTATGCCCAGCAACAGTCGAGGGGGGGATAATATCAATTTACCCCTGTCCGTCCGGATGAGGATACTTTGTTTGTCTGGCTATCTTCTCCTACAGTTTTGGAGGTACAACTTTTAAAATTTGTAATGTTAACATGGCAAAGTTTAACCATAATGAACCGCCACACCTCAGTTGCAGAGGTAATTAAAAAAATGTACAGTCTGCTAGATTATCAATTTTCAGAGCATTTGGAGTTTTGATTTATACCCCTATGGAAGCTAATCACAAATTTCTTAACTGGAAAAGTATCAGGAAACCAGATGTTTCCATCGAGCCATAAACATACTGTGTTAGTATTGTAATTTAAATGGGGATAAGACATGTAAGAAGGGGGCTTGAAAATGATGAGTTGTGTTTCTACAGGCACTAAGTATACTTATATATACAGGTAATGTGTAGTACACATACATGAATATGGTTTGTTTTCATAAGTAATTTATTATAAAATTTGACATGGTATGATTGCCAATGAGACAACTATCCACCAGAGTCCAAATGACTGAATATTGACAACTATGAATGATCATATATACAGCTTTCAACAATGAGCAAAACTGATACAGCATAGCAAGCTACAAAATGTCCTGAAACAGAGTTGGCAAAAACCTGGGTTTGATGAGTATTGCCCAGCCCAGTGTGAATTACTGGGTTTTATTGGGTAAATCACCATCAAATCACCAATTGATCATGTCTTGAGCTTAAAATACAAAACAGTTATCTCCTAATTATAAGTTTGGTAAATCATTGGAGATTAAATTGGTGTTATCTTTTTTGCTTGACTACAGAAACAAACATGCTGATTTTATTATATTACAGGAACTGTAGGAAGTATTCAAAGAGTCTGATTGCTAAGTATGCATTACAGGATTTTATCATTGGAGCAACATCTTGGGAGGAGAAGTGCAAATGTATGAAGGAATCCTTGGGTAGAAATAGCAATTATATGCAGAAGAAGACTCTTAAACATTATTAACAGACATGTAGTCATAGTAGTGGTGTTTTCAAGAAATGTAAACCAACTGGAATTAACAATTGTGTATATTTTTTCAACCACAAGTACTTTCAGAATATAATACAATTCAAATTCAAATTATTGTGTCAACATACAAGTTACAGTAAAAAAATGAAAATGCATGTTTTAAAATGAATTTTATATAAAAAAATGAAATAACAAGAATTTTTAGCTTATTGTGCAGCCAAACTTTGAGATCTTTTAATGGTATATGCCTGTTGTTTGTCAACATTTTGCCTTAACCTTCAGATCAGTGTTAAAATGAGAAAAAAACTATTTTTGCATATATGAAATAAGAAGTAAACGGTTGTAAATTACAGAGAGCCTTTCAATATGGTACATTTGTATATCAGCTATATTTCACAGAACTTTCTATTTTAGTTTATTAGTACAATGAGATATGAGGTATACATCAATCAGCCAGCAATATAACAACAAAAACACCTGAAAGGCATTAAGGTGCTAACATGCAGTCCTCAACAAAAGACAGGTGTCTAAAAGATATGCCATGATCTATTTAATTGACCAGAGGCTATAAAAAAAATTACAATATGAATCAAGAATAGCCATCAACACCAAATTCTCTGAATATTTTTTTTTTTATTAAGACGAGATTTTAGACAACCACTGAAAAGGTTTCTGGCTTTAAGCAGGTACATGAATATGTGGCGAGGTGAACTAGTTTTTTTCCTTCAAAACCTTCTTAAAGAGAATTGGCATCTTTTGCAAGTAGGTCTTTTCCATAATGTGATTGGTTTGTGTCAAAACTGATGACCACACAATATGACTTATACAAACATAATAAAAATCAACTCAAATGAAATATACATCAGTGCAATCAACTTCCATAAATCATTAACAAAAAAGGATTGAGACTCAACACAACCAAAAAAGTTCTAGGAGTGAACTAAGGTGCCCTGGATATTATTTTTATCCTGTGATGCATTTGCTTGCCTTCTTTGTTTAAGACCAAAAAATTTTGGAAACAAAGAAAGTAAAACAGAATGGAAGTATGAACACATGGTCCAGACCAAGAAGAATATTTTTCATGTTTATATATATCAAAACAGAATTTGTATTAGATTAGAATTGACTTACATAAATAAGCTCAAATACTGTGAAATTAGTGTGATTGAGGCTGAATTCACTTTAATTTCATTAAAAAAAAGAAGCTCGATTCATGTTAATTTCACGTGAAAAGTTCACGTGAATTTCACGTGAAGGCTCAATTCACGTGAATTTCACATGAAAAATTTCACGTGAATTTCACGTGAGTTTAACGTGAAATTCACGTGAAATATTTTACGTGAATTACGCGTATAAGCTCGATTAACGTGAAATTCACGTGAATTTTTTCACGAGAAATTCACGTTAATTTCACATTAAATTCACGTAAACAAAATTTGCCTGTGTATACCTCGTTTACAATTACCTGCATAACGATGTGTTCTTCTTGTGTAACGTCAGCAGGCATGGTCGCCTTTTTAAATTATTATCACAAAATGAAATTCAGGGGAAAGCAAGACGTTTTTCGTCATAATTTACCAATGAAGAACTTAGATCAAACAAACCACACGTTGACTAAAATAAAAATAATCAACAAGTCAGGAAAAGAATAAATCTGTTAATAATTAGAGAAATCATTGTATCAACTGATATCAAAAGTCAACAATTGTTTTATGATATTGATTTTTATCCATCTCCATGTTTTAGCCTTTCCCGAAGCTATCTAACTGGTCCTTGTTCTTATACTAACTATTTTATATGTTTTGATAGTTGCTTGATTTTGTAAATTTAATAAAATTTATCGTAAATAACGAATACTTGAAAACAAGGTACAACAAATAAAACGAGAATTGGCATGATGTCATACTCTACGTTATTGACACTGACTAGAAAAATAATTATTCATGTACACGTTAGCTGTTCTAAATGTTATATTAACCTCTCTCGATAGTACCCGCGTTGACTATAATGTTTTATCAACGAAGAATCCGTATTCAATTAGCCAAAGAAAAAAGAGAAATTGCGTAGTAAGTAAGAACAACAAATACTTATATGTAATGCTTCTACTCCAGAATTAAAAGATCCACACAAGTCGATCGTTGTATTGATTGCAGCTCTTACGTCTTATTTTATTGACAATGTTTGAAAGTTTATTTTATCGATATGCTTGATGAGCATAATTTGAAACCATATATTCGTTTAGTTTCTATTTTCCTCTATTTGCTTTGTTTTGATTTTTTAAAAACCCGGAGTTATAAATGTAATTTTTAAAGCTTTTCTTCCTTTATATTAAAGACTGTTACTGCAATAAAACACCTATGCATTGGAATAAAAACCTTTTGAAGACACCAAATTAACAATATTTATCTTATTATGATATATAATTACTGAAGGTTTATGAAAATGCTTTTTCAATTACAAAAATAATTTGATATGATGTGATTGGCAATGAGACATCTTTTCACCAGTTACATGTTGTCTTGTATACATAATCATCATTGTTATCCCTTTCTTTGTAATTAGGTGATTCAGTTGAAAATCGATTGTACCAGTTGCCTGCATTTATAGATATAAAAAGTTTCCGTGGACAACATAGAGTTAGCCGAAATGAAGTTTGTTCGTCTTCTCAAATGCATGCCGATGGAAGATATGGAGGTTTGAATGGTAATATATATATACTGTAAATATCTGTGGTTTAACTTGGTGACCCTCTATGGATCTGTAAGGGTTGGTAGATTTCATACGGGTATCATGCCGTCATGTCTTCTATTAATGGTAAAGATAGCTATTAACGTTATTGTATTCCATTGTTTATTTAAAACTTGGCAGAAAAAGTTCATTGTGTGATGCATTCTTTCTACGGTTCACTACGTACCCTCTTTGGATTCGTAGGGGGTCAGTAGTAAACCGTTTAACTTATAATATAATTATCTTGCTTTGATTTAACACAACTTAAGACAAACGTCCTAAATAAAAATATAATCAATTGAAGAAAGATGTAAATTACCAACTTAATTTTTCAGACAGATAATGATTGTAATATGTTCTCTATCAGTAAGCAGGAAACGGAAATCCGTTGCATACAATTTAACAACTTTGTGAAAGTAATAATATTTCCCCCATTGTTGCATTTACGTTGTATTTTTAAAGACAGTACAATATTTGTTTTTATATTAATCTCTTCATTGCAATAATTTTAGATTTCTTTCGTGTTTGTTATCACGTATATAAATGTTTAGCAAATGGATAATACGTGTATGTATATGAAATCTTAGAATTTCGTATCCTCGATGGAAGAGTGATCTAAGTCGTGCATCTTCAAGTATTACTAGAATGCAAACACTGAGGTGGTGAGTTCGAACCCCGGTAGTAATAAGCTGCGCTCAATTCCGATCTCAATCGACTAGAATTGCCAGTGTTTATAGCTGTCAAAGGTCAGTGGTTCAGTTAGGTATGATTAAAACGGCGTTGTTTTTCAATTAAATCTGGCCTCTTTTATATGGCTTAGGGTTTAAAAACGGATTTAAAAACCAATAAATCGCCACTTTTCAGAGATCTTAAAGGATTTAGCCTCCCACATATGCAAGATTAGTGTACATAATAATAACGCTGTATTGTACAATTGGGAGTGTTTATGTTAAGTGTGAAACGGCGAATGCATTAGCGGGGAATGGTGATACGCGTACGTCGATGCAAAATTGTGAATAGGGTTTACACAATCTTTGTTATTTCGATTTTTGTTTGGTCTTTTCTCAATATTGAATGGCAATTACACTTTTAATATTTCGTGCGGCGGAAGCGCTTTTCTAGCTAATCTTCATCATAAATGCTGAACCTTAACACATTGAAGCTAAGGATGCAAATATATAGAAACGTTTGGAGCTATATGATAAAAAGGGAAAAGCTTGAAATTAGAATTGCAGGCCTTTTTCTGTAAAAATTGTAAACTACTCATTCTGCAAATGGGATATGTTGTATGGGGTAATTGCGAAAAGGGAAATGTGTATAGTGTGTGGTATTTATTAAAATTTTGTACAGATAAAGTTTTATCATTATATACGAGTTATCAAACATGTCTAAAGTAATTGAACATAATATTTGTTCTTTAGCAACAGAAGGAGCAAGAGAATCTGGACATGATCGTAGGGGTATATTATATCCAGGTGCCTATGCACAAGTAAGATTTATTGATAATGAATGATATCCCGTCAATTTACAACGGATATAAAAAGAAAAACAGCCAACATAATATTGATATTTAAGGATTCGAGTTAAAACGAATAGATTTTCCACTCGTTGGTATATTATAAAAACTCAAAAACACGTGTACATATAAAAAAGAAAATGTGGTATGATTGGCAATGAGACAACACTCCACAAGAGACCAAATGATACAGAAATTAACAGCTATAGGTCACCGTACGGCCTTCAACAATGAGCAAAGCACATACCGCATAGTCAGCTATAAAACAGTCGGCTCCCAACACATGATTTAGACATTTATGTGGTCAATATTATATTTATTAAAAGTAAAGACCAAGATAATACTATAATTGCAAAACGCTAGTGAATCTAGTGTAGTCTGAATTCTACGTCAATGAATTATCGCTATTTTCAGTTACCTTGTCTAGGTACTACACCTACAGTGTCAACTATCCTGAGAACAAAGCCTGCTCAGGGCAAGATGCGTTTGACTCCGATCTTTATTGACTAGGAATGCCAGTATTCCTTCCAAAAATCGATGGATTTTTTGGGGTAATCCGGGTTCCTCCGCTCATAAAAACTGACCTCCATGATATAGCTTTCTATAACCAGCTGAAACTGTCATTAATAAATTCATCTTTTTTTCAGATAAACGAAATTAACTTGAACTACGCTGAAGTAATGTTTAATGTCGGGCGTTCACCAGGTAACTCCATCATACATGGCAATGATGAGAGAACAATTTATTCTGATATTAATCATTTATTAAGAGCAGAGCCTTTGCCATCGTCAAGCAGTGAAAGTGAGGATGACTGAGTGAATTTTTCATGCATTGAGTCCATTCTTCCAGTTTAAATATTTCTGTAAACATAATTAAAGACCTAATAATCGTTCACGGAAAACAAAACATT